CCCCCCCCGTCCTATAGAAGTAAATATAACATTTCACATTTAAACAAATCCAGTTTAAAAATACAACTCACCAGGTACAATTCAATTCCTTACTCAGCAAAGGTTTATCGAGCACCTACTATGTGCTTGGTAACTGTGTGTGTGTGTGTGTACTGGCTTCAGTGTCAACTGGGGAGTTGAAGTTTTGTATTTTTAGACTATTTTTAGGTTATATATTTTCTATAAGCTCTATACTGTATCTCTTCAAGTGACCATTTTAATAGCTTTTACTACTAATCTTCCTGACTTAACTGATGAGGCGCGTCCTACCTGGTCATGAGGCTGTGCGGGATCGTACTTGGCTGCAGGGCAATGAGAGTACTCATGAAATTCTGGGCCTGGGTCTGCCGGCAGCCCCTGGCGGCCTCGGGGTGCAGCCCCAGGAGCTCGGCGGGCTCCTCGTCGGGCAGGGTCTGGACGAGGCGGACGTAGTCCTGCAAGCTGGCGGGTTCCGGCAGGGGCTGGCAGACCTGAGGATTTAAGAACTGGTCGGTTTTGCCTAGTGCGGGATCGACTTTCAGGAACGCTCAAAGACATGCTTCCCCAGGAAATTTGACATAGAAGGCTCCCATTTGCACGTGGCGTGCTCTAGATGCTTCTGCCAAAAGCTACGTCCGGGGCCACTGCGCTGCACAGCGCCGCTGCGTGACACGCACGTGTAACCATCTTGTCGGGAAGAGAGGAAAGGAAGGAAAGGAAAAGTCCTCAAGGGCCAGGGCGCCTGACGACCCGCTGCCCCGGGAAACTGCACCGTAGATGCTGGGTGCGAATCGTGGACTTTGTAAAACCTGCAGGATGCACGCGGGAGCGTCTTAAGAAAAGCTGACCACTCAGGATGGGTGCACACGGCCTGAGGGTGCAAACTTCCAGCTATAAAATAAATAAGTAAAAAAAAACAACAACAAAAAAAACACCTATTGAATGGGAAGAAGAGAGCTCTTTCTGCCGGTTGCCAGCTATGGCTGTGTCTCCCTGCTTGTGGGCCGCAACCAGCACTGATGGGTTACAGGCTCTGTGAGGACGGCAGCTGGCTGGCTGGCAAAACAGGAATTAACAGAGAAATGGTCAATTAATTTTGTAATACGAAAAGCTAACAAAAGCCACTAAGAGTGAACATCGAAACTGATTTAAGTGCAGATTTTTAAAGTTATTATTATTTTTTATATCTATTAAGAGAGAGGAAGGGAGAGGGAGAGAGAGAGAGAAACATCAGTGATGAGAGTCATTGATCGGCTGCCTCCTGCGCGCCTCCTGCTGGGATCGAGCCCGAAACCCAGGCCTGTGCCCTGACCGGGAATCGAACCGCGATCTCCTGGATCCTAGGTCGACGCTCACCCGCTGAGCCACGCTGGCCGGCCGAAGCGCAGATTTTAAATACTTCGGCAATACTTAGTAAAAACAATCCAGCCGTGTGAGCAAAATGAATTCCCTTCTCACCTCCTCGCTGAAGAAGCTGAAGTCGTCTCTCAACACGTCCGGGTTATAGAACCTGTCGAGAAGGGTGTTGAGGCACCGCCGGTCCCAGTGGTCGGTCACCCGGCCGCCGTAAACCACCTCCCCGACCTGGAAGCGCAGCGTCTGCCACGGGACGTCGGGCTGGGTGGTCAGGGCGTTCTCTAACACCTTCACGGCCACCTGGCAGGAACATTTTTATTATTTCAGTGTGTGTTTTCATTTACTTTGATGCTTCGACATAAAATCAACAACTCTCAAACAGCTAAGTGTATTTTCTGTTTAAAAATATATGGAAATGGCAACGGGAATAAAAATAAGAAGAGTAGGGTATACGTCTTTATCCGTTAATTCTTTTTTGTCGTTAGGCAAACCTCAAACTGCTTGTTTTCTTGAATAGAGCCCACAGGCAACACGGCCCCGCCCCGGCCCCGCAGCCCAGCCTGGGAGGAGCCCGCGTCGCCCGCGTCATCGCTGGCCGTGTTCTGCACGCGGCTGCACGTCTGCAGTTCTCCCGGCTTGTCCCCGAGTGTCATCGTTTCCCATTCACCTGAGAAACAGATGCCCCTCCCCACGTGCCCTCGAGGCCTCCTTCTAGGAGGCCCGGCCCTGGCGCAGAGCAGGGTGGGCTGGTGGTGGCCTGGCTGTCACTCGGGCCCTCCCCCAAGCTGCGCCGGCTGCCTGCTGAAACCTCNGTCACTCGGGCCCTCCCCCAAGCTGCGCCGGCCGCCTGCTGAAACCTCCACGGAAACATCTGTGCTCAGCCCTCTCCAATTACTTCCCTTCCCTTCCGCTTGGGGATAAAGCAAATTAAATCATCCTGCAGCCCAAGGCTCCAAACCAAACCAAACCGAAAAACCGCCAGGCCCGTGGCTCAAGATGCTGGTCTATTTAATTTTTACCAGCCCGATGGGCGGTGCTCTGTTACAGTAACTTGGATTTCAGCTGGTTCTGGTGATTTGGGGCATCTTTACTGAGCCTACCGGTCCTTCGGTTTGATCCGGACATTTCCTGTATTTTCTTCGGCTTGCTTGCCTTTCTCTGTTACTAAGAGCTCTTAGTACAGTGGTGCCTCGGTTTTCGAACATCTCTGTGGACAAACATTTCGGTTTACAAATGCTGTGAACACTGAAGGAAATGCTTTGGGTTTTGAACACACCTCTGAGGGCAAGGTCCCGAGGCCTAGCCGTCGGCTGTGGATCCCTCGGTTTTCCAACGTTTCGGAACTCGAATGCGCTTCTGGAGCGGATCACATTTGAAAACCGAGGCGCCACCGTCTTATAGAAAGTGCTGCTTCGCACGTCCCCTGGAGCCCGGGGTTCCCAAGTCCTTAACGACCAGGGCCGAGCATAAATCCACCTCCTACCAAGTGCCGAGGTGCCAGCGGGTGGGATTTCTAGGCAGCACCCTGAGCTCCCGGCACCGAAACCCAGAGGGCTGGGCACCCAGGCAGTTTGCTTCTTTCCCACTGGCAAAGTTGCTCTTACATTCGCCACATAAAAGACACAGAAACCATTTGTCCAATACGTGGAGCCACTATTTCTCTTCATCTTTTGACCAGGCTTTGAGTAAGGTCCGGACAGAGTGCAGGAGCGCACCTCCAGCTCCCACTCGACAGATGCCCGAGTGTGGCTGTTTTATGCCATGATCTGCGTGGAGGCGACGCACAGGCTCTGATGGGCACTATCGCCTGGGGGCAGAGGCCTGCACTCTGATGGGCATTACCCGCCTGGGGGCAGAGGCCTGCACTCTGATGGGCATTACCCGCCTGGGGGCAGAGGCCTGCACTCCGATGGGCATTACCCGCCTGGGGGCAGAGGCCTGCACTCCGATGGGCACTATCCGCCTGGGGGCAGAGGCCTGCACTCTGATGGGCAGTTGAGCTTGAAGCCTCGCATGGAGACTGAAAAGCCTCATGAAGACAGAGGAGCCCTGGGTAGTTTGGCTCGGTGGGTAGAGCGTCATCCTGCCCGGGTTCGATTCCTGTCAAGGGCACGCATGGGTTGCAGGCCTGATCCCGGGCCCAGGAGGGGCAAGTACGAGAGGCAGCCGATCGATGTTTCTCTCTCCCTCTCTCCCTCCCTCCCTTCCACTCTCTGAAAAGCAATGGAAAAATATCCTTGGGTGAGAGTTAAAAAAAAAAAAGTTAAAAAAAAAAAGAGGAGATGGAAAGATACCCATCTAAGGTGGGACCAGGTGACAGACACCCAGAGGCAGGACCAAGCTCTTCCTCAGCAGGGTGTCTGGTATCTGCTCGAGCACAGTCGTCACGGCAAAGGCCTGCACCGGGACGGCCACTGCAAGGAAGTCAGCCTGGGCAAACGCAGGCGGGTGCTACCCCGCGTCTGCTGCAGCGACAGGGAAACACCTCCGACGTTAAGCACAAAGAGAAGGTTCTCTGCGGAGAACAGTGAAGAGAGACTATTGAGCTCAGCTTCCCCCCACCACCCTGGAGCTGTAATTTGGTCCCAGCACAGCTGGCTTCGAAGTCCATTCTTTACACGTTTTCGTACCATGAAAAGGGTGCTGGGCTTGTCCTGTCTCGCTATTCACTTGCTGTTTTTATTTTGAAGATACCGCACTTACCTCGAAGTCTGAAGAGCTGAATTCGTAATCAACGTTCCAGCCCAGGATCCCGTATTTCTTTCTTTCATTGATCAGAGCGTTGAAAAAACACAAGCTGAACAGAAGTTTTTTCCACCATGGTCCACGGTCGGGTTTTTCAAACATTTCTTCCGTCACCTCTCCTCTCCCGCCGTATCCAAGCGTCTTAAGTAAGTTACTTTTAAATCCTATGGGCGTTTCCACTGCGATCTTTGAAACAGACGTGGGGAGAAGCAGCGTGTGAGGACATTCGGGCACCAGGACTCGGAAGACGCACAGAGCACTGGGGAGAGAACCAGCTAAGCATGTGATTTTCAAGGTTCGCTGGCAAATAAAAAAATCTTGTTATTCTTGCCGGCCGGTGTGGCTCAGTGGTTGAGCATCTCCCTATGAACCAGGAGGTCACGGTTTGATTTCCGATCGGGGGCACAGGCCCGGGTTTCAGGCTCCATCCCCAGCAGGGGGCGAGCAGGAGGCAGCCGATCCATGACTCTCATCATCGATGTTTCTCTCTCTCTCTCCCCCCCTTCCTCTCTCAAATCAATAAAAACATTAAAAAATAAAAATAAAAACCTCTCCATCCTTTTTGCATTTGAAAACCTCTGCAAAAGGACGGAACCAGCTTCCCTGTAGCTCCCACTCACAGCTTTGCTGTTTAACAGAACTGCCCAAGCCTTAGTATTTACTCAGACTCGATGACAGAGACGAGAAGTCGCAGAGTGTCCCTAACGCGGGCCTTTCGGGCGCTAGTTTTAGCCTGCTTTCTGCCAGGCCCTTCCCGGAGAGTTTAGCAGTGACGGGGAGGCAGGGAGGGGGAAGCTGGGGGAGTGCGGGGGCCGAGACAAGGGCGCCCCTTCTACATCCCGGTTTACAGCAGCCGGACGCTTCGGCGGCCTGCTCGGGGGAACAAGCGTCAGCATTTGTGAGCCGTCGGAAAGGAGGGGCCTTGTCCTCAGTCCGGGATCGCGAGCGCAGGACGGTTGCCATCCCGTCCTGCTCCTCCGTGAGCACTAAGGCCCGGTCGCCCGGTCCTCACCTTTAAACTCTTCTGAAGAACGGGAACAGGGAAAGAGCTGTCTGCTTCTGAGCTCAGCCACAGCCTGAACTCAGGGTCGACGGTCGCGTTTGGACTGTTAAACCTGCAAAATAAAAATTTACGTACGCACGTGAAAAACTTAAACCAAACCAACATGCTCTACGAATCGTACTGTTGCAGTGTTTTAAGGGAACTTGGAAATCATTTTCATAACCGAAGATCTTAGACTACCCCAAGAACTTCCACGTTGCACGGGAATTTGCGTAAGACCCATTAATTCCCATTTTTAAAAACTAGTTTTTTTGGTCCCCTAAGCACAAAAGTGATATATACTCATTGCAAAGATGTGGGGAAAATGACAAATTAAGAACAAAATGAAGCGTGCCAGTGGTCACATCTGGGACAACTGGATGTCAACATGAATGGCGGCAGCAACAGGTTATAATGAATAAAACAGGAGTCCGTGAGCCCCCACCGACGTCATCAAATTAAATAAACGGGGGGAAGGAAAGTCTCTTCCTGATGGTGGAACATCATTCAGTACGTTTAGAAGGAACTGTGGAGTGTGAAAGTCGCCACCGGCAAGTCGTACAGTAATAGTTCAGTCAAAAGTTATCAGTGAATGTTAAAACGAGTGGGAGAAAGCTCGAGATGCATCTGTGGTCTGAAAGTCCCTGCTACAGGGGGCAGACGCCACTTCAACCAAACGGTCCGAGCTAATATCACCAATAACGGGACGGCCTGACCTTACGCGCCTCGGGATCTGAGGCACCAAGAAGGGGGCACAGCGCTGGTGGTTTTCCTGCAACGCTGCAGCACCTCAACCTAACCGCGAGAAAGCAGCAGACAAGCCCCAAGCGACGGACACTTGACAAAAGAACCGGCTTGAATTTTTTAAAACGTCAAAGACAAAGACAGACTGAGCAACGACTGGGGAATAAAGGAGACACGACAGCTGAGTGCAGTGAGGAAGCCTCAGCTGGAACCTGGGCCAGAGCATTTTTTCCCCTTTTTTTTTGGCAATGAAAGAAAATATTTGGACAACATGCTAGATATGACCAGATTAATCAACAGACACTGAAGTGTTTAGGGATCACATGGCATCATGTCCGCAGTTTACTTTCAAATCAGAAAAAAGTCACATATGCAGGGTGTCCCCCCAAAAAATGTGTAAACATTTTGCATCATTATAAAGGCAGTGTTTATTAAAATACATTTCATTTTCAAAATGTACTAGCAGTCAGCTGTTAAAATATATATACATTTTTTTTTGGACACGTTGCATATCTACTGAGAGCGAGCTTGAGAAGGAAATGGGGAAAACCATATACAAGGTGGAGAGTTAAACTTGGGCCTTTCTTTCCTTAATAAAAAATGGATGTATTCTCAGCGCCGTTTTCAAGCTGTGAGGGCAAAGGGAACCCCCGTAGGCCAGCTTCTGCTCCCTCTGGGGGGCCCCGCACATCTCTTACTGTGCCCTCGCTTAAGCCCAGTGTACACCCCAAGTCCCGGCTTCATGGCACTGTTTGGGCCGCCGGATCGGTTACAAATGAACGTGTGACTTACGCTTCCACGATGGCGCGAAGCCTTGGCATGAAGGACGCCGCGAGGTGGCAGTTCTGGAGGAAGACCCACTGCTCCGGCTTGGCCAGGGCCCTGGCGATGAGGTCTTCTGCTTTAGCCGCGCGGCCCTGGCCCAGGGAAATCATGGTCACGTGCTGCGTCGTCCCTTTGAGCTCTTGCGCGAATTTCAGGAGGGTGCTGGTGACGTCCACCCCTGGGGACCGCGTGGAGAGGTGCGTGCATTGGAAACCCGTCTGCTGCCCTTAGGAAGCACGATCCGGCAGTTCCGAGTGGCGGCGGGACAAGGGAAAGGTGTTTCCGACACACGGCGGGGACAAGGCCTGTCTACGCCCGCCACTTGTTATCTATTCCAACATCGCTTGTCCCTCCCCCTGTGCCTGAACCCGAGTTCCTCGAAATGGCCGTGCACTCGGCTAAAATACTTGACTTTTAGCTTCTCTTGCCCCTGGGCTTGGGCGTCTACGTTCTGCGGGTAGGTGTGGGCGGCGAAGCTTGCGCAACGGTTGTGTGACTGTCCCTGCCCTCCGTTCTGTTGTCCAGAACCTGGATCCGCGGTGGCCAGAGCCCCGGCTGTCACCTTGGGCTAAGTCTCCAAGAAACGGGCGGCACGTTACCATGAGCGTGCCGGGCACAGGGCCAGCCGCCGCGCCCAGAAACGTTTCCGATGACCCGGCCCGCACGGGGAGGCACCGTGAACAGGCCTTTCTGCCCGACAGGACCAGGGCTTGAGAACGGAGCATCCTAGAGACCTGTCTGATCCGGACACGGCGAGGACCAGAAGGTGACTGAAAATGCTTCGCTCGGGCCTGCGGGTCAGAGGAGAGGCACCTGGGGTTTTGAGGAATTCAAGGGCTGGGTCAACTCCTGACCATTTATTTTTATAATGTATATTTTTTCGTGAGTCAGTGTTAATTAAAACAGCTAATAAACGCAAGGGAAAGCCGGGCTTTCCGATCGATAATGTGTGTCCGGGAGCTACTTTCTGTACAGAAAACCAGTGCCGATAGGATTTCCGATTCGTGACCCTGGAAAACTGTGCTCCCTCTTTGTGCTCTCTACATTTTTCGAAAGGTTCATTCTTGAAAATTTTAATCTGTCCCTTTCCCAAATACTTAAACATGGAATCGGCTGACGCAGAGCCCGCCTCGCCCCATCTTTTGACAGTCGTGTCGTGACCCCCCACCCCCCAGGGGCTCACCTTGCGAGTGAATGAGAATGAGGGGGGTCCTGGCGTTGGAGTCTTTGTACGACTCCTTCAGGTTAACCCCGGTCCTGTGAATATACTCGCTTCCTATTTTTTCAGTTATAAAACTTCTCACCGAATTCTTCAAAAGTTCTGGCCTAAGAATTTTTATCTGAAAGAGAGAAGACGTGGAAGGGGCGGGACACCATGGCTGTGAGAATCTGCGACACTGACCCTCTGTCGCCACCCCGCTGCTGGCTCCTACCTTCTCTCGCCCATCGGTCAAGCGTTTATACAATGTCCCCGCTGTGCTCGTTTTTAACCCCGAGGACTTATTTTTTTTGAGGGGGGGGAGAGAGAAAGGGAAGATGGAAGAAATGGGGTCCCGTGAACTCAATTTTACTAGCTCTGTTCCGAGCAGCTTCCGATGGCCCTGAAACTGTCCCCTCGTGACCGTATGCGCTTAGTATGTGCCACGCTTCTGAGGCTTTGAGGGGCTCACAAATGACACCCACCTGCATCCCCCCAGCTAGATCCTGAAGCACCTGAGCCACCGACGGGCCAGGCACAGTATCACCTGTACCCTCGATCCGCCCAGGGGGTGGATGGGCCTAGGCGCGCGTGCTGCTCGGGACGGACCCTGGAGTTGGACAGAGTTAACCTGCTGCTGGATTTTCTCCAAGGGGCCGGGCCTGTTCCCGCAGAATTCGCGGTTGTTGAGAAGCAGAGCAGAAAGGATGCTCTTTGCAGGCAGGCAGATCCCAAACGGTACGGGGCGGAAGGGCTGAGCAGGGCACCCCAAGTTTCTCTCTGAAGCTTACCCATCTTCCAAGACCTTCCCCTTGTCCAGGGCAGACTGGACAAGGGGACAGAGAGGTGCCGGGAAGGTCACTCGAACTGGACTCTCCCCACGGGAAAGGCCCGTTCAGATGGAGTGTGAGCGCCTCCCTCTAACGTTAGCGTTTGCTCAGACAGTTGTAGATTTGAGGGGTTTAGTTACTGATAAAGCGCCCAGAGCATTTTCAACACCAACCCCTTTGCACAGTGCATCTTACCAACATCAGTCTTTGAAACGGAGTGAGTTTCTCCCAGGGGAAAGTCACGGGGCTGCGCAATTCTCCAATTCCGCTCAGAAGCTCAGCTAGATGTCATTTAGAGAAAGAAACCGAGACTAACAATCAAAAAAAGTCTGGATTTTCCTAAAAGACGCCTCAAGCGGCAGCGTTCGCTTTAAAGTCGTGATGTATTTTTTTTCGAACGCGGTTGACTTCTTTTAAAGTGAGCTTTGTTTCTACAGGACTCGAGGCACCACTAACTACCCTTAAAGCCCCACGAGGGGTAGACGGGGAGGTGGGCCTGAGTTTCAGCGCGGCCCCGGCGACGTGGCTGACGGAGGGCGCTGTACCCAGGTGGTGGGCAGCTGGCAGAGGACCCGAGCAGCCGGGGGCACAGCCAGCCCTTTAGCACCTGCTCCCTCCCGCACATGGGGTGCAATGAAATTCTCAAATTTTTGAAAAACTTATACACATATATTTTTTCATACTGACCCTCTTAGCACCTCAACGGAGTCCCACTGCCCAGACGTGGCTGTCGCTTCCCCCTGCCTTACATCTCCCGGGTACTTCCCCAAGGTCTCGATCAGAGAAACAGCTTTTTTGGGTTTATGGATTTAAAAAAAAAAATAAAAATCCACGCTACATATGTAACGTAATCAAGTCAGAGGCACACGCCGGCCGCCCCCTTACCTTCCTCGGGGGATTTCTCACTCTCCTCGGGCGGGGCGTCCTCCGAGGAGTACGGCGAGCCCATCAGGGCGTAGGCGGCCTTGCTGTCCCGGAAGGCGGTCCACTGCGACACGTTTGCCAGCAGGGACTTGCAGAGCAGGGAGAAGGGCTCCAGCTGGCCGCTGAGGTACAGGCACTGCCTCCACCGGGGCTCCGAGACCCACTGCAGGTGCCGCCCGGAGTACATTCCGTACAGGCCTGGGGGGGAAGGAGGTGACCTCGCTGGAGGAGGCCGTCCCCGCCCGGCCGCACCTTACGAAGCGGGTGCTCATGAACGGCTGTTGCTGAGAAAAAGCTCTTTTGCGCGGCAATTTACATAAAAGGTAATTTTTTAAAATTGTGGTTAAAAACACAAAATCTCCCGTCTTAACCATTTTGAAGTGTCCAGTTTAATAGCACGAGGCACCGTCATCTTGTGAAACGAGGTGCCGAGAACTTCTTCTGCGGACCTGAAACCGGGCACACGAAACAGCCCCTTCCCCTCGCCTCGGCCCCCGGTAATCACCGTCCTCCTTTCTCTATCAATCTGACTTCTTTCGCTACCTCATGGGAGGAGAATCACATAGTGTTTGCCTTCCC